GTATGTATGCATACATGTGTATATGTATGTACGTATGTGACTGTGTATGTTGTATGTGTATATACGTATATGCAAGCATGTATGTATAATAAGTATGTAGGTAAATATGAATGTAAGTAGGCATGTAAGTATGCAATTTTACAAGAATGCTGGTATGTCATTATTTAACTAATTAAGTATGTACGTAACTATGTACATATGCAAGTAAGCAAGAATGCTAATGTGTCATTATGCAACTATGCAGCTATAAAGTATGCAAGATATCCAGTTCATTATAATCTCATTCAGAGTCATTTCAAAATCATGAAACTTTTCACTTAAATCATTAAATAAATATATTCTTATTCTTGTCTATTTTCTGTCATATTAAACTTGCATTAAATTGTTGAAGTAATATCTCTTATTAATCGACGCGTTATAACGTCAGGGGTTTTTCGATCGAGCATGTTTCGTCACTGCCTCGAATTCTCGTGAAAAATTGAAGCACGCAAAGGCAAAAATCCTTGCGGAGCGTGGAAGTTCGTTTTTTTACGATTTTGCAATTTTCATGTCAGGGTAGCCGAGGTGCGAAGAGGTAATTTTCTTTGCCAGGCAGGAGACACGCGTTCGAGCCTCGCTCCGCAGAGGATCGTTGTCGAAAGCCAAGTTATCAGAATATTGCATTCGAGTTTTTATTTTCCACCGGCGTCTGTCGTTTGTTCTATGAAAGAGATTAAAAAAAAAAGAGTACTGGAAACCCGTCATACTGCGCGAACGTGAGAAGTCGATTCGATGACGAGAGAGAATAATAAAATGAAAGAAACATTTTTTTGTTCGCTGTCCCGTGGCTGCCACCTTTTTATCCGATGAAGTTTTGTGCACTCTCATTTCACGACTCGAGTGAAAATTATTTTTCGTACAAAAATGAGATTGCGGGGATCGAACGATTTACTGGGCGAATTAGATTGCAAGTGATTTCAATTTTCTTTTGTTTTCGGATTGCTATTTTCTCGTAAATCACTGGCGATAGTTATTTTTTTTTTCAGAATATTATTTCTGGGAAGTTATTAAACTTTTATGTATTTTTATAATTTTATAATGTTTTATGTGGTCTGCTAGAACTATTAGAAATATTATAATATACCCTATTAGGGTTTACATCCTATGGTACCTCAGCATGTCATTTTGGTATATCAGATTTAATATACTATTTGAAACGCAGTATATGATCTGATATATCTACTTCCTTCATACGAAGTAAGTAGAAGTGCAGTTCTGCGTGAAAAGTTTTTCCGATTCATTGATACTCGAGAGAAAATAGTTTCGATAATCACACTGAAAGTGTTCCAATCCTAGTAGGTCGGTGTTGAAACGGTGTGTGCGTTTAACCGGGAAAAGGCATCGATTCATGTCGATGGTTATTGGATTACTCTGAAAATCCCCATTCTCCGCTCCTTTCTTTAATAAGCGTTAAATGCCCTGTTAACTTTATCGATTCTTAAACATCGTACTTTAACACCCTCTACGAAAAGCAAGAAAACGAACTAATTATACGAATTCTTTTAGTTCGTAATCTCGAATAACTTTGAATCCTTCGATCGCATAGATTATTGTATTAAAGCGACCACATCCACCAAAGCCTCCGGTAGAGGTCTCGAATAATCGGAATTGATACGACGCGTTTGATGGTGCTCGTTACATTTTCCCGATTATTGACGAAATAATCTTCACTGTTAATGACCAGAATGCATAGATATCAAAGGTCAGTCGAATCGTCATCGAAATAGCAAATCCTAATCTTCTGTATTAGCATAATTGGCTACTTTCTGCTGAGCTACTTTATGCGCATGCGCAAAGATATACAGCTTTTACATTCCTCAATTGTTATAATTCAATACAATTAATAGTTGTAATTAATTATTACAAGCTATTCATATGAAGGATAGACGATTTAATACATTAATTGTATACTTTAGATATGTACTTTAAGATATACTTTACGATATGTTCAATAGAATTGTATTTTAAGTTTAAATATGTTTCTATAGCTTAGATCATATATTTGTGTAGAGGTACGTACTGCGCATGCGCTGTGTGGCTTACGTAGCGCGTGCGCATAAGGTATACAGCTTTCACATTCCTCATTTGTAATAATTGAATACAATTATTAATTATTACAAGCTATTTATATGGAGGATAGACAATTTAATACATTAATTGTATACTTTAGATATATACTTTAAGATATGTTCAATAGAATTGTATTTTAAGTTTAAATACGTTTCTATAACTTAGATCATATATTCGTGTAGAGGTACGTACTGCACATGCACTGTGTGGTTTACGTAACGCATGCGTATAAGATATACAGCTTTTATATTCCTCATTTTTAACAATTCAATACAACTATTAATTATTACGGGCTGTCTACATGAAGCATAAACAATGTAATACATTAATTATATACTTTAGACAGATACTTTAAGATATACTGTAAGATATATTCAATAGAATTATACTTTAAGTTTAAATACGTATCAATAACTTAGATCATACATTCATGTAGAGATACGTACTGCGCATGCGCTACGTAAGCCACACAGCGCATGCGCACTACATATCTCTATTTAAGAAAACACCTTCACATTCTTTTCAATAAATAACATAATTTAACCACTTAAAACAGGATTTATATTCATTGACAGTTCGAGATATTTTAAACAGCTTGCATCAAATGTACTTTTAACTTATTACATACATATTCTGTACTTTTATACTAATACTTTTGTCTTATTCTGTACTATCGGTTGAAAGATTCGGATCTCGATTATCGTCCCGATCGAAACGGATGCTATCGCACAAATCGATAGCCAAATCAGTCGTGCAAAGCAACGCGTACACGAAGGCCGTCATAAGCTGAATTTGAACAGCTCAGCAAATCAAACCGCTAATGTTATAGTATTTATCGTGGAATTAATCGCGACGAATGGAAAGCCGGCGATCGCCGATAAACCGTCCTGATTACGGCGAGCAGGGACTATCGTGATCGCGTTTAAATCGGATTAAAGCCGTCGGCCATTTGACGGAAAACATTCGGCCTTTGTCGAAGCCTGGCTTTTACCCAACAGCATGATTCTAAATGAGTTTCTCCGTCATTTCGAACGTTAAAGCTTCGTAACCGTTTCATGGAGATTATTTTTCCCTTCATTTTCGCTATTTTTGATCGTTGCAGATGAATCGAGGATTTACTTGTTGTTACTTCTCATTTGATCATTACCAAATATTCAAACGTTTGAAGGATTTATTATCGTTATTACATTTTTTTCTAAATTTTAAGTAACCTCTTGATATACTTTGTAGACAAAATTTGAAGTTTTGTAATTTACAGAAATTTGAAGGTTAGGAATTAGGAGGGATTTTAAGGGATTCGAAAATTTTGTGATATAAAATATGAAAGCTGAAATCAGTGATTTAGTCAATTTCAGAACTAACAGATGTTCTCGATTAGAGTTCAGCAGCGTTAATCAGTTTCTTTATCAGAATTCTGACGGTGGAAATCAAATCGGAAGCTTCGATCGAGTTAGTCGGAATTAATCGAGGCATGCAACTAAGCTCGTACATTACATATAACGATCTAAGCAAATCGGAAATTCGCCGATGCTCCTGAATCAGAACGCCTTGTTGAGTGCGGCAGTCGGTAGAGGCATTGAAGGGTCAATCAGCATTCCGATCAAAGCAATACGAAGCACCTACGCAGCATTTTCATTGATTCAGTGCCGATAAGGATCGCTGAAATTAAAGTCAATTAGACCGTGTCCCGTGTCATTCTCGAATACGTTTAATCATTCGAGAACACCTCAGATAAATTTAATTTAATCGGAAATCGAACGAAACTCTCCGAAATTAAAATTAATCGCTCTCCCATTCAGACTCAATTTTCTACGGTTTTCAAGTACGTCTTGACGAGTTCTATGCAATCAGGATTATCTTCAGAGTATTATTTCATAGAATACGTGTTTAATTGCTTCGAGATAATCCTTAGGAAGTTCTTTCATCCAGTAAGATTGTTATATTCCTCGGAACGGTAAAGACGTCGCGTGGGATATTAATAAAAGGAAAATAGGGACGATGTCGGATATGTCGGGTTGTTAGTCGCAAGAAAGGAATCGCGAGGAAAATGAGACGCAGTCAAAAGGGATTACCGAGGAGTCGTGAATTCATTTCAGGTTGGACATGTTACTTTGCCGGTATAAATAAGAATTTCCAGGGCGGAGCGTCCTCTCACCGAATCGAATATTTCCTTTTCTGGATGGGTACGAGAGCTCGACAAATATTTCCGAAGAATTTATTCCACTGGAATAGATATGTTCCTCTGCCTGGCCGATACCTTCGCTCGAAATCGTCCAGTCGTAGTCAAAGCTAAAGCTCGACTCTTTTCTCCATTTTGTACTTGTCGTATTTCCTTCTTTGCGTATTCCGAGGGTCTCTTATTCTGTTTATCGTCAAGAAGCATGCTGTGACTCGTGATTCCTTCGGATCATACTTATTTCGAAGGTACTACAATGAAATATTTTCATCACGGGGAATTATGCATACGATGAGTTATTCGCTGGACGTGGAATAATTAAATTCCATTCTTTTCGGAGTAACATCGTTTGAATAATTCTCCGAGTGTACGTCGAGTGAATTTAATATTTGCACCCCAAGCTACGATGTTACTCCACTTGTATTGCTGGAACGACAGAACGATCAAGGGCTATTCGTGTCTACTTTAATGATGTAGGAATTCTAGGATGCAGGTAGATTACGATCTACGTATGCATTGATGTATTGATATACGGGCATATTCAGGTGCCTAGAGATTTCGGGCTTTTGGGAGTCTGAAACATTGGCATCATAGACATGCAGATGAATCTAGGGACCTTTGATCTAAATATGTATCTATGACTTTGGATTATATCTCAATTTAATTAGCTCACACACGATTCACTTTTGTATTACATATTTGGTGGTTTGTTTAGCTGGAAGGGCTAGGAAAAATGAAGGAGAGACGGGGATGTATGGAGAAGATGGACAAGAACGTTTTGGATGAATAGGAAGTTGAGCACCAGCGAGAAAGTCAAGTCTCTTATGCGCCATCTAGTAGCGATGAGCGTAGGCATCATGTAGGCATAAACATAGCACCACACATACGTAATAATTTTATTTTACATACACAATATCTTACATAGTACATAACGGTTTTAAAGAAATACATAAACTAATTTCATCGATAAAATGATAACAAATAATCAGATTTAATTGCCGGATCTTACAAGTATATTTAATTTTTACAGTTTAATTCATCCGAATTCGTATTCCATTTTTAATCGTCGAATTCGCACTGAAATATGAGGGTGGATTTCATCGACGCTATTGTGCGAATCAGCCTTAATAAGCGAAGGTATCGCACGCGGGCCACGCAATTATTAAATTAATTGCTACGATTTAATATCATCGCCGCGATTTATCGTTCGAGCAACGCCGAGATGATCAAACAATTCGGCGATCATACTTTCGATCAGTTTCGTTTTATTTACACGTAGGTGGTCCCGTGAGTTATTTTAACGATTTCGTAACTCCGAAGAATATCGACGGGCAGTCAGCATTTTTCTGAACGTTCCGCGAGTGTTTGATTCACTCCAATAGTTTGTCGATCGCGCAATAACAATCCGTTTGAACGTTACTTTCGGTTCGGTTCGTTCTACTCCAATCGAAGAGCTTTGAATTACATTTAAATGGACCGTGCGTAGTTTCGATGGCCAGCACTTTCGAGAACTGCGATACCACTTGATCCCGATTGCCAATTGAATTTCACATTTTCACGTTTTCTTCGGCTCTCGTTCTATGTACACTTTCGATTGGTCTGATAAAATGAATAAACAGCGTGAAATAGAAACATGTACATTTGTTAATAATTGAAACGTTGCTGTAAGGTCGTATCGCGTTACCGATACATTTGCTATTTGGAAGAAGAAATATATTTTTAGTCAAAAAAATTATTCTCTCACTGAATTAGATATTGTAGACTTTTGTTATATTGCCACTGACAGATTTGTTACGTATAGATGATAGATAATATTGTGTGGTGATACAACGTGTTACGACACAACGCGTAGTAAGGTAATATGTAGGAACAGAAGGCGCGGCGATATAACGCGAGGGAAGTACCACGGTGCAGTATAACACATTGCAATGCAAGGTGTGGCGATATAATGCGTTGTGACACGACGCTTAACAATTCCAAGCATGGCAGTATAACATGTGGCGATATAACGCGAGGGAAGTACCACGATGCAATATAACGCGTTGCGGTACAAATCGTGGTGATATAACGCATTGTAATACAACGCTTGACAATTCCAAGCGTGGCAGTCTTAACACCCGGCGATATAACGCGAGGGAACTACGACAGTGCAATATAACACGTTGCGGTACAAGGTGTGGTGATATAACGCCTTGGGACACAACGCTTGACAATTCCAAGCGCGACAGTGTAACACATGGCGATATAACGCGAGGGAAGTACCACGCTGCAATATAACGCGTTGCGATACAAATCGTTGTGATATAACGCCTTGGGACACAACGCTTGACAATTCCAAGCGTGGCAGTGTAACACGTGGCGATATAACGCGAGGGAAGTACCACGCTGCAATATAACGCGTTGCGATACAAATCGTTGTGATATAACGCCTTGGGACACAACGCTTGACAATTCCAAGCGTGGCAGTGTAACACGTGGCGATATAACGCGAGGAAAGTACCATAATGCAATATAACGCGAGGGAAGTACCACGGTGCAATGTAACGCGTTGCCATACAAATAATGGTGATATAACGCATCGTGACACGACGAGTGACAATTCCAAACGTTGCAATGTTACACCCGGCGATATAACGCGTGGTAATGTATCATGGGTCAAAATAAAGCGTTACCATACAACACGTGGTGATATAACGTGTTGCAACACAACGTATAACATTTTTGTATGGTGGTAAATAAGTACTAGTAACTCCATCTAAATGAAAATTCAATCGGCAATATAGCGAAAGTTCCCTATATTTTGCAAATACAGCAAGTAAAATCATTACCTGTTGGAGTGGTATTCGAATTTTGTGCAATGAAACTTTCTCAACCATCGGTGCTGTTCACATATTGATATTGACATCGATGCGTTCATTGGTACGAACGTGAAATTACATCGCAACGAGTTGGAAATTTCTTTCTCGATTTGTAACGAACTTAACAATGATTTTAGCATCATTTATCGTTACGAGCCACTGGATTATTCAGCCGTTACTCGAACCGTGATTTCCCGTTTACAATGACTGCTCGACCACGCTTCCTGCGCTTCGCACTCGCATTAAATAAATCATTAGACAGACTCATCAATAAATAGCAAGCTTAATTGGCATCGATCGATAGTAACTGTTAATGTTTACCGGCGATAAACATCCGTTCGCGATTACGACACTTTATCAGATTTATTTGAGTTCGATATTTTTACTTATATATTTAATAATGTTAACTTAGTAACGATGTTAATCCTGTATCCAGTATACTAACATGAAAATATATTACATATAGAAACATATTCTTTGGTCACCGAACAACATTCGTGTGAACAAATTGTGGAGCTGTGTATTTACGGATTTAGAAATATGCGGTTAATATTCACTATTAATACCGAAATATTGACAATGCATATTGTGCGTGAAATATTGATAGCATATATTAATCTAACGCCCCATTAATTTTCAAACAAGTACTAAATGTAATTGGATAAAGCCTACCTAGGGACATGTTAATTAATTAAATGAACTATAGGTTTTCAATCATTAATTGAACGTCTACTAATGCCTATTGATCACTCACAGTAAAAAATATAATTTAAAACACGATTCAAATCCTGCCCTATCATTACCGTCACCATGTTTTGTCCTAGAATATAAATTACTGTTCATTACGTGCAAACTTTTCAAAGGTGGATATTTTTTCTATGAACACCTATTACATCATTCTTAATCGTCTTTTTACACGATAACTTCGATACTGCATCCGATCATTACCGGTTGTTCCTTTCACCCCTTTTTTTCTACCTGATTTCGTTTCATCAGAAACCCTTACTGAAGGATTAATTCCTCGAGTCGCGGAAAGATTATTCCCTTAAAACCCGTGTTTTTGACCACAGAATTATGCTTCCAAGCTGCACGACAGCCTCGATGCGTGTATGCCACGCGACCATTTTTATTTAGACCAATTACCATAACACAGGCCTCGAGAATTCAACCTCGCGTCACTTGCTTTTTCTTCTTCGTTTACGCGAAATTTTCGTGACTACGAGCCTGGTATAAACTGCACTTTCATTGTCACTTACGCGATCGTGAAATGAAAATGGTGACGTGCAGTAAATTTACTCCTTCTCAATGTATAAGTTTGTGAATTTCAGATTTTTTAAGTTTTAGATCTGAAAAAATTTTCAGATTCTTATATTTTCAAGTTCTTAACTTCTCAGTGTTCCAATTTTGCAAATTTTCAATTTTCCTAATTTCAAATTTTGCAAATTTCCAATTTTCCACTTTTTCAAATTTCCAATTTTCCACATTTCCCATTTTCCACATTTCCAATTTTCCACGTTTCCACATTTCCACATTTCCAATTTTCCACATTCCAATTTTTCACATTCCCAAATTTTCACATTTTCAATTTTTCACATTTCCAATTTTCCATATTTCCAATTTTCCACGTTTCCAATTTTTCACATTTTCAATTTTCCATATTTCCAATTTTCCACTTTTCCACTTTTCCACTTTTCCACGTTTCCACGTTTCCACGTTTCCACATTTCCAATTTTCCACGTTTCCAACTTTTCAAGTTTTCAATTTTCCACATTTCCAACTTTCCAAATTTTCAATTTTCCAAATTTCCAACTTTCCAAATTTTCAATTTTCCAAATTTCCAACTTTCCAAATTTCAAATTTTCTCATTTTTCAACTTCTTATACTCCCAAACTGTGAAAGCCTCAACCTTGCCAATTTCACACCTTCAAAGTCCCACCCTTCGACCTTCACGAACTTCCTCATCACAAAATTCGAAACGTCCTTGAATTATCAACGCCCCGCAAATGACCCAAATCGCACAGGGTCTAATTACGTAGAGTTCCAAATCAGCGGTACAGCGTTTAATTTATTTAGACCCAGTCCGTGTCCCATCAGCGTTACGTCCAGCTCAACGCCTGTAATTGAACCCGACACGGAATAAGTTAATATCTAAATTAACCCACGAATATTTCATCGGAAATTCCCTCGATCAATCAAAAACTTAGTTCGATGTCGCCATGTTGAAAATATCCCTTGATCCCTTCGATCCCTTATCCTCCTTGCATTTAACCAAAAAATAGGAAGTTTCGACGCGAGGCGTATCCGAAAGAGAACGTTCGTTTCCCGGATCCTTAAATCCGGCGAAGAAAAAGTAGGGAGCAGAGAACGTTCATTTTCTCGATCGCTTTATCCTCCCTCGACAAGGAAGATCACGGAAGCGAGTTAACGCAGGAATATCCGGGTTCCCTTAATCTTCCATCCGTCATTGACCAGCCAACGATATTTCTCCGGTGACGTGGGGCGTCTTGGACATAATCGCGACGCGTTTAATCGTCGTCGTTGTCGTCGTCCGGCAGATCGATTCACGTGTACGCACGTGTTCGCACGGTGGCCAGCGAGCGTCGCGGCGCTGTTTATGCAACCGTACACAGAAACGGAGCCGGTGTGTACGGACGCGACGGATCAATCCGGATTAATTGAGTTACGGTTCGCGGTTTTGCGGCCGGCCAACGACCGCATGGATATATCCGCGGCTTCCGGGAGGGTTTGTTGCCCGGGGACATGCGACTCCCGCGACGACGATTCTGTCAGACTTGTCCTACGTCTTGCCGCTCATCCTTCAGGGCTTCACGGATTAAAAAGAACTACCAACGGGATGCTTACGGGGTTCGATTTTTAACGACTGTCGTTCTTTTACCGATGGACGTGTTTGAGCTAAAGATAGTTCTGGGTTTAAACTTTATGTTGAAGGGAGATTCAAAGTGCGCGTGTAATAATTCACGCGTAATAATTCAGCGTGTGG